GGTAATATCACATTTCCAAATTCCAAGCTAAGCTTAAATTAAAGAACAACGTTTAAAATTAAGAGAAAATTGTTTATAAGTCTTATTATGGGAACTTATTTAATGTGAAATCTTGTGTAATTTTTTATACAGTTTCAAGTCTTATTTAGATAGGAATGTGTTCTATAAGGTCCTATGAGTTGTAAATAATTGGTATTAGTGTACTATTATACCCCTTATTTATTTTCATATTCTAGGTTATTGTATCATTCAACATATTACGTTTTTGGAGGCTTTTAGGAAAGTAGATTGTGCAGGCCACGTTTGTCAGAATCGGGGCCTTCCTTCAACACATCTCCTGGTCAATTGCCCGGTCCGAACCTGCCGCTACTGCAACAAACTCAGTCCTGGTCATCTGCAACAGGATTGTTTTCGCAATCCATCCCGCTCATCCTTCAACAGCCACCCTTCTTGCGGTGGTTCTCCTCGGGGGAGCTTTCATCATTCCAGGAATCAGTCTCATTCTGGGCATCAGTCTCATCACACTGCCACTGTTGCTGCTGCCGCTGAGGGATTTTCTGAGTCTCCTGCTCCATCTACCCCTCTCTTTTCTCCAACGGATGTCGAGGCTATGTTCAAACACCTTCTCTCCCCTTCTGGTACACCTCCTCAAACTGCTCTGTCTGTAATTCTAGGTAACTCTTCTTGGTGTTTTGACTCTGCTTGTTGTAATCATATGACCTCCAGTTCAACTATATTTTCTTCCATCTCTTCATCTCCTCATATTCTCTCAATTCAAACTGCTGATGGTTCTCTCATGACTGTCCGTCATATTGGTACTGTTTCCACATCTTCTTTAACTTTATCTCAAGTTTATCATATCCCTGCTCTCACTTTAAACCTTATCTCTATTGGCCAATTATGTGAACTTGGTCTAACTGTCACCTTTTTTGCTACTCATTGTTTGGTGCAGGACCCTCAGACAAGGCAGACTATGGGGATCGGCCGTAAGCACGGACGTCTCTATGAGCTCATTCACCTTCATGTTCCTGACTCTCCTCAGATCGCTGCTCCTGCATCTGCTTCCTCATTATCTCCTTTTCATTTATCTCCTTTTTATCTTTGGCATTGTCGCTTAGGGCATATTTCTATTAATCGCTTAAAGTCTTTGGTTTCTAGTGGACAATTGGGTCATGTAATTCCAGATACTTTCGATTGTATACCCTGTCAACTTGCCAAACAACCTGCTTTATCATTCAATAAAAGTACTTCCGTTTCCTATGCACCTTTTGATCTTATACATTCGGATATTTGGGGACCTTCCCCTACTACTACTATGGGGGGATCTCGTTATTTTGTTGTTTTTATTTATGATTTTTCACGGTTTACTTGGATTTTTCTCATGAAAACTCGGTCTGAACTCAAAACTCTTTATTATCGATTTGCCCAAATGGTCCACACCCAATTTTCAAAAACCATCAAACTTTTTCGCTCTGACAATGCTATGGAATATCGGGATTCAGATTTCCTTTCCTTTCTTCAGAGTCATGGTACACTGCCTCATCGTTCTTGTGCTGGCACGTCCTAGCAAAATAGTCGTGCTGAACGGAAACATAGGCATATTCTTGACACTACTCGCGCTCTCCTTCTCTCTTCTTCCTGCCCTGAAAGCTTTTGGGGGGAAGCTGCCCTCACTGCTGTCTACACTATCAATTGTGCTCCTTCCCCTGTCATCCATAATCAAACTCCCTTTGAACGTCTGCATGGCACTCCCCCTCCATATACTAATCTTCGGGTTTTTGGTTCTACCTGCTTTGTTCTCCTTCAATCTCATGAACGCACCAAGCTTGAACCTCGTTCTCGTCTTTGTTGCTTTCTTGGGTATGGAATTGAACATAAAGGTTTTCGCTGTTGGGACCCTCTCTCTCAACGTCTTCGTATCTCCCGCCATGTCGTTTTTTGGGAGCACCAAATGTTTTCCTCCCTATCCTCCTTTCACTTACCTGCACTTTCCACTAATGTACTGTTTACTAATCCTTCCATCGATCTCTTCTCTGATGATTTTGATACAGGTTCCTCCTTCATTGAGACGCCCTTGCTCACTCTTGCTCCCGATCAGACTGCTCTCCCTGGAGGTCCACCTCTCCCTACACCACCTTCTTCTCTACCGGTTCTTCCTCCCACTGATCCTCCTTCGGGTCGACCACACCGGGTAACTCAACCTCCTATCCACCTTCGTGATTATATTGTTGGGTCTGCTGCCTTTTCTACTTATGAACCTACCTCCTATGGATGAGGAACTTCAAGTTTTGGACAAAACTCATACTTGGGATCTTGTTGATCTTCCTCCTGGCAAAACTGCGATTGGCTGCAAATGGGTTTACAAAATCAAGACTCATTCTGATGGCTCTATTGAACGCTACAAAGCTCGTCTTGTTGCCAAGGGTTTCAACCAGGAATATGGGATTGATTATGAGGAAACCTTCTCCCCTGTTGCTCGGCTTACCTCTGTTCGCAGTTTACTAGCTGTTGCTGCTGCTCGCCACTGGACGCTCTTTCAAATGGATGTCAAAAATGCCTTTCTCAATGGTAACCTTCTTGAGGAGGTCTATATGCAACCTCCACCTGGGTCTAACTTTCCCCCTCAGAAGGTTTGCAAACTATAGCGTGCCCTCTATGGCCTCAAGCAAGCACCCTGCGCTTGGTTTGCTAAGTTCAGTTCTACCATTCATGACTTCGGGTTCACCTCTAGCTCCTATGACTCTGCTCTCTTTATACGGACTACTCCTCATGGCACCACTCTTCTCCTTCTGTATGTGGATGATATGATTATCACTGGTAATGATGCAGCTGGTATTCTCCACCTCAAAAGTTTTCTCCACCGTCAGTTTGAGATGAAGGACCTTGGTACTCTTAACTACTTTTTAGGCCTTGAAGTCTCTCATGATTGGCTCTTATTTATCTCAGGCCAAATATGCATCCGATCTTCTGGCTCGTGCTGGTCTTACTGATTGCAAAACTACATCTACTCCAGTTGATCCTCAGATTCGTCTCACTCCTCTCGACGGGGCTCTCCTCCCTGATGCTACTCTCTATCGTCAGCTCGTCGGCAGTCTTGTCTATCTCACAGTAACTCGTCCTGACATTGCCTATGCTGTTCACATTGTTAGTCAAACTAAAATCACTCTCGTAAGTGTTTGATGATTTTAGGTTGAGTGTTTGAGTTAATTGGGATTTGGAATAGGTTAATCTTGATCTAATCACAAATCACGTAGGATTTTCACATATGGATTCATGCACTAAGAAAAAGAAAAAAGAAAAAAAGGGTAGTCAGAAAAACTAACCAAACGGGCATATAACAACTTTTCTGATGCTGATTGGGCTGGGGATCCTACGGATCGACGCTCCACCACGGGATTCTGTTTTTTCTTAGGGGATTCTCTTCTTACTTGGCGTAGCAAGAAACAATCCCTCACTGCCCGTTCTAGCACCGAAGCTGAATACCGAGCTCTTGCTGATACTACTCAGGAACTTCTCTGGCTTCGCTGGCTCCTCACTGATATGGGTGTTTCCTCTTCTGGCGCTACCTCACTTTATTGTGACAATCAGAGTGCCATTCAGATTGCTCACAATGATGTTTTTCATGATCGCACCAAGCATATTGAGATTGATTGTCATTTCATTCGACAGCATGTTACACGTGGTACTATTCATCTTCTCCCTATTGCTTCTACCGATCAACCTGCTGATATTTTCACCAAGGCTCATCCTCCTGAGCGCTTCCGTGATCTTGTTTCCAAACTCAACTTGGTCGATGCCTACCCTCCTTGAGTTTGCGGGGAGCTGTTAACATATAATACACTTTCATATAATGCCTTAGTAGCTGTAAATGTACATCACAGTGCATTAGGAGCTGTAAAGCCAACACCCACAAACCAGCAAAGCTGTAAAGGAGGCCAACACCCACTACCACTTTCAACTTTAGATTTCACTTTGATATTATTGTAATATATTACCTTATGCCTTCGTATTCCATTGTACCCTTCTGCTCTCTATAAAGAGAGAGGCCTAATTCTCTTGTAAACACAGATACACAACAACATATATTGAATATACAAAATCCTTCATTTCAGTCTCTCTCGTTTTCATTTCAGTCTCTCTCGTTTCAAATGCTCAATGGACCGTGTGATGGAGGCTCTGCGTCTCAACACTTTTTGACAGTCTCACTGCTATTGTTGTCTGTTTCTCTTCCCTTGATCACAGAGACCCATCCCCAGTACGACATCGGAAATTGAGGCGCTGCCTATCTGGAGAGGCCATGAGCAACTTGAGGAACTTTTTGGATGGCAATGGTTGGCACTGTTGAATGTACATTGTTATTATTATTGTCATGATTATTATTATTTTAAAGTCTTCGTTTGTTTTGAGGAGTCAGGTATGTTAGAAAAAAGCAGGTAGCAGAGTAGCAGTTTTGTAGGGAATCTGTCTACCCAGCTGTGCTTGCCTGCTATGCTTTGGTGGGCTTTGGCTTTTGGGTTCTTGTACATAATAACATAATTATATTGTCAGGTGGACGGTGGCAATAGTGGTCTATAATTAATTATAAATTTTTTTGGTTTGTGTATCTACTATTTGGCTTTCTTGTATATAAAACTTTCTTAAATTGCATAATTTCAGTGACTAGTGTTCCTATTTTTCTGTCTTCTTCCTGCCATTTTTTCGTTGTCCTTCAAATCTTTTGGTCATTCTTGTTAGCCATCTATGTGATGAATGTTTCTCATGATCTACTTTTCACTGAAGCAACTTCATTTCAATACAGAAAGATCAATGCAACTCGAGCTTGATTTGTTTAAATTTTGTTTAAGTTTAGTTTATTTGTTGAATGAAGAACTTGAATTAAAATTTTTGACTTTGTTTAACAATTCGAGCAATGCATGCTTGGCTTAAACAAACCCAAACTAGAAGAGCACATGGAGCACAGTAAACAGGTAAAAGATTGACCAAGATTTTGCAACATTTAATTGTTGTTCCAAATAATAGGCACTTTTCCTTTGCTTTTTTAACTTTCATAAACTACAGGACCCTCATAAACAAACAGAAAGCATTCCATAGCTTCAATGGATGAAAAAATCGAGACCTCTTAGTTTCTCTTTTACAATATATAGATTCATTACAATTGAACATGATCAAACATTCTTCCTAAAGAGAGAATGTTCTGCCTTAATACACATACCACCCAAGTCTCACAGTATAGAGACATCACATCACCTGGGGGTTCAGTCTGTAGAGTAGCTTTTTACCAACTCTTTGAATCTTTCTAAACCCCTTGCGAGTAAGCTCTCAAGAAAAGGTCGTAGTGCCTGAAAAAGTTTTAACATAAGAGGAAGATCTTATTTGGAAAATAATTGGAATATCTTACATGGCAAATATAACACAAAAAATATCAAATCTCAATAGTCAGTCGATGGTTATTTTGCCTTTTTCTTAGTTTCTGTTCAGGGTTAGTAGTCCAACATGGAACTTCTAAAATTAAATGAAAGAACTTTTAATTCTGAGTTGGAAAGCTTACTGATGCCACTGGAACCAAGATTTGAGGAACTTCATATGAGACAGTTAGCTGAAATGGAGAAATCACAATTGTAAGTTCAGAGTTAAATTTGAACCATCTGAGGGGAAGAGAAAAAGAATAAAGGAATATTGTGCCCACTCCCCCTTTTATAGTTCCCCTCATTGCCACCACGTGGAAAGGAAGCACCGGGACCAAATATATGTCCATCCCAACCCATCCAATCCAACATATGTTTTTTCCTTTTGGTCCCTCTCTACAGATAAAGGAGAACAGTGGCCATATTATGGAAATCTTCAACTTGATTAATGTGAGCTACTAAGGAGTAATCGCATGGATGGACTGTGCTATCCAAAGATGGATTAAACAGTCGCCAATGAAAATTAATGATGATAGGCATAAAAGGATAGTCGTTGAAGGCATAAACAATAATGATAGACTGACAAATAGAAATATTATGAAGGGTAGCCTCACTTCTACAACGCATGATGAAGGACCTTTCGGAAAAAATCGTGCAACTCCTCTGCCACAAAGAAAGAAGTTTATCAAGATTCCGATATCAATCATAAGGCACACACAGGCGTGTATAAATACCACACATACATGCACATACACATATATGTATGAAAGGATTCATTTTAAAAGTATACCTATATTATCCATGAAATGGAAAAAATAATATTAAAGATTTCATTGACAAGTACACCAGTGCTACACCAACTTACCAATGTACATGCAAAAATAATTTCAAGGCATTAAATGTGTGTGTAAGCAATCCGAAAATTTATAGAAAAATGGCAATTTGCACCCAATTGAGTCCTCAATGAACCAAGACAGATTTGCACTGTACCAGGATCCATGATGAAAACTATTTAGCAAAATAAGAGAACAGACTAACAAAACATAATTTGAGCGATGCAATGGCAGAATAGGGACAAGCTTAATTAACAGCATCAGACAAAGTGTTTGCTTTGTGAGAATTTAAGAGCTTTAGGTTCACTTGAAAGCTAAGGAAGCCCAAGGATCCCTTTATTTTCCCCCTCAAAAATGCTTACTAAATGGGAAATGCACCAGTGCAAGGAACCACCCTCATACAGGCTACAACCTTTGCCACAAACCAATAAACTTAATGTTTTTTTCCATGAAATTACTAACCCTAGCATGGATGCAGGATTATTGGTATCTTTATAAAGTTTTTGTGAATAATATGACATCATTGAGCTCTTTTAAGTACTTTCTTTGGACTGTATTTTTTCACATTTAAATTGTTAACACATGAAACATGGTAATAACTTCTAAAATATCATGTTCTGAAGATATTCTTTCTTGTCTTGATAACTAATTTCCTGATGGTCTGGCCACATGGAGCCCTGCTATTTTGGGGTTTAGACATTGGTGAGGGTGATTTAGGCACATCAGCACAATTATATCATATCCAAGGCTTTGCCCATCAGGTTTGACAGCGATATAATTGTATTGTGTATTTTTGCCAATATTTTTCGTTTCCACACTCTCCAAAGCACTTAATGTACTAAAGCATGCCTTTTACTACATAATTAAAGTTCGTTACTAGTTTGTTGGGACAATTTTATCACATCAACACTGCAATATATCATTGGACTGTAGCTATTGAGAAGAAGGTAGGGTTTGAGGTTTCCCTAAGGAAAATTGTGCATGTGCTACAATGTTAAAACCAAATACAACAGCCAATAAAAAGACTTGAGGGAATAAATAATTTCACTAGTTAGAATTAGACGGATTTAACATACGCATTTGTGGTAATGTTATGCATGCCTGTTAAAGAATTCCAATTACCTGTTAGGGAGACCATCAAGAGATCTCCAGTGGATCTTCTGATTGGGGATGGGCTGCAAAGAATGTAAACAAAGAAAAACTTCAATGGGAACCTCACAAATATGAATCAAGGAACTTCTAAGTTCTAAGATAATACAAGAAAGCATGTTTGAGAAGACGCGAAGGAAAAAAGTTAGGTTTTAGACATCCTTACCTGCATATTTCGCGCAAGCCAAGAGAATTCAATATCACGGCCAAATGCTTCATACTTTAGTGACCATTGTGATAGGTCAGGCTTATCTTCTAAAATCTGTGAGATGGGATCAGTTAAAAACTTCCCTCAGATATATAAATCTACAGCCCCCCAACCAGTTAGTTGAGTTAATTTTTACAATGCCCTCAAGTGGGAGGTTTTGACCAAACCCTGTATCACTGGCAATAGAAAGCAAAGCCTTTGTTTCTAGTTTCTAGTTCCTAATTTTTAATTTTTACCAATACCAAACGACATGTAAGTGCCTCTTTAGGGCATCAGCACGTAAGGTTCCCCTTGAGAGCAGTAGTCAAAACAACAAACCAGCAACCTTAGTGGAAGCAAGTTCTAATATGGATAAATCAGAAACTACAACCAAGAAGATCAAAATATCAGATCAGGTGGAAAACTAATTTGAAGTTGTAATTATATGGCAAATAAATAAAGGAGAAAAATATAGCAGTATTAGGAAGTCACATCAGCCAGTGAGAGTAATGAGAACAATGAGATTTTGGAAAATTACCCCTTTTGTCGTTCATCTTTCACTATCAGAAAAAGAAAATAAATTTATGATAGCAATCCATTACAAGTTCAACTTCACATTCAAGGGTGTTGAAATGAAAGAATCTAGTTTAGTGACTTGTATAGAATTGAGTTACAACACCACACGGGCAACGGGAATATCTAGTAAATGCAGTTGCTCACGCACACACCTTTACAGATGAAATGAAGGGCATCCAGCGGGGAATGGCTTCACGATCAGAATAACAATTATAGGCAACTGAAGCAGGGACGTCTATATCCATCTTAATCCTGTGTTAGTCCACATAGTTCAATTTAATACCAACAGCACAGAAAGCTTGGGGAAACTAATGAGAAACCACACGCATGGATTTGAACATTTATTGTTTTGGGGAAAAAACAAAGAATTTAATAGACACATTTTATATATTTAAAAAAAAAAAAAAAAAAGTAAAAAATGGTAATGACATGGGCAGGGCATTAAATATGCAAATGAATGACGAGTGTCATGGATTAATAAATAACCAAACTCAACAAAATCTTGAAGTCGTTCCCAAGTGATTAGGGTGAGCTATATGAATTAGTAGAGAAGGGGGTTGTAGAGAAAGACAGTTGAATAAAGGAAATTGAGTTACTTTTGACTAAACCGAGTGGGTGCAAGGAATCAAGATTTTAACAAGATTGATTGATTCCCAAAAGGGAGTTAGAATCGGAGTTTCACACAACACAAGCCCATTGCGACATCAAGAAGAAGATCTGATCTGATTGTAGTAAAATGAATATAATAATAATAATAATAATAATAAAGTGGAAGTGGGAAAGAAAGAAAGAAAGAAAGAAAGAAAGGAAAAACACAGAAAGGAAGGAAGGAAGGAAAGAAAGGGAGAGGGGAGATTAAAATTACGTGCAATCCTGCCATTCCATGACAGGGGAAAAGGGTTTGAAGATTGAAGAAGAAGAAGAAGATGAAGTCCTCTTGTTGTTGTTGTTGTTGTTGCTGTGGGTCCCATGTGGAAGTGGGTATCGAAATCCGACGCAGATCTGGCCGATGACGGAAGAGCTTCTGGAACTGAGAAGAAGGGAGTGGTGGTGGTTGTTTGGAGTTGAAATAAAGATTGCCGCCGCCGAAGACATTTTTTATGGATTGGATCGGATTGGATCCTTCCTTCCTTCTCAAGTCTAACCCACCCCACCCCCTTCAACCAAAATCTCCAACCGTCCGAATGGATGGATGGTTGGTTGGATACTATACTGGACTGGATTGGATAGATAGAATATAATCAGTTCAGTTTGTTTGAATTAGTTTTTTTTTTTTTTTAAAATTAAGTTATTTCAAATTATAATTCTACTCATTGATTTGAGTGTGATATTTATTTTAAACTTTTAAATTATAATTTTACATATATTTTTTAAAATTCAATTCAAAACATAATCATTACTTTTCAAAACTCATAACCAAATATATAATTCAAAATTCTTTTCAAAACTCAATTCAAATCAATATTTTAATTTTTTAAATATTTTAAAAATATTTTAATTTTGTTAAGATTTTAAATATGTTAATATTTAAATATGTTACTATTTTTTTTATTTTTTTTATTTTTTTAATTTTTTTGAATATTTTTAAATATTTTAATTTTTAAATTTTAAATTTTAAAATATTTTATAAAAATAAATTCAAACTCTATTTTATAAAAATATTTTTAAGTATTTAATTTTTTATTATATATATTTGGTTACGATTTGAGGGTAGAGCTCTGAAAGTAGTATGAAATTTTAAATTATGTGTTTAGTTATGAGTTTTAAAAATAATTCTTATTTGAGTTTTGTTTTATGTGTTTGGTTACAATTTGAGTGTAGAGTTGTTTTTAAAATTAAAATATTAAAAATTTAAATTATTTAAATATTTACGATTTAAATTTTTTGAATATTTATTTTGAAAAAAAAAATTATTTCTTTTGTAGTATTTTCAATTAAAAAATTGATTAATGTTATTTCTGCTAATAATAATTTTTTTAATTGAATTTTAAAAAGAGTTTGGTTATGAGTATTGATCAGAATTTTCAATAGTGTGAAAATAGTATGTTTTGTTATGAGTTATGACAAATTTTCTTACTTCACATGTCAAATCAAACGTTCAAAACTCAATTCAACACTCTATTAAAAAATCATAACCAAAAAAATTTTCTGCACTCAAATTATAATTTCACAACTCACAAACTCAAAATACAACTCATACTCTCAAATCACATTTACAAAACACTACCAAACGCAACCTAAATTTTTCTTATTTTTTATATTCTTTTTTTTGTTTTTAATAAATATTTTTTAAATTTTAAGTATTTTTAAATTTTTTTAAATACACTTTACTTAGATGCATTTAAATAATAAAATATTTATGAAAAATATTTTAAAAAATTAATAAATATACAAAAATATGAAAAATGTACTGAATTTTTACATTTTTTTTGTATTTTTTGATATTTAGTGTATTTTTTAAAAATAATTTACAAAATATTATACTTTTTAAATGTATTTATGTTACATGTGTCTAAAAATTAAAAAATAATTACTTAAAATATTAAAAAAATTCATTACAAATAATAAAATACGAAAAATAAAACATAAAATTTTTTAAAAATTATTTTTTAAAAACGAGAACCAAACGAGCTGACTCTTCCCTTTCCTTTAGGACTGGACTGACTCTTCATTTGACTCTTCCCTTCCCTTGCCCACCAATGCTGGGCCATGCCTGCCCTGCCCTGCCCTGGTTAAATACTAGTATCAATTGTTCTCACTCACTGCCCTAATTTGTTTATTGATTATAGTAAGGAGATATACAATCATTCTATTTTAATTTAAATTTTAAAATATTTTTATCACCATTGCTCTTTTTTCTTGAATTTTGAAATGTATTTATAATGATTTATAGTAAATAATTTTGAAAATCTAACGAAAGTTAATATTTAAAATAGAAACTATACAAACATTTTAAAATGGGCTAAAATAGAAAAGTGGACAAATAAAATTGAAATCAATGTAACATCACATGCAGGCCTAATATTCCCTCTCCTAGTTACAGCCAAATATATATATATATATATATATAATTTTCAGATCATTGGATCCATCGAAACATTTATTTGCAGACAATATGTCAATATGTATGTAAACTTGGATTTTGGAGTGTGCGAAAACAAACCAGCAAAGTGAGGACAATTGCAAAATGATGTATGACATACATCTGTCAGCGACCAAGAGATGTGCCACAAGATTATATAAACTGCAGCACATCACTAGAAATTTATACTTCCATCAACAGACTCCCAATCCTGCTTTAGGGAAGTGACTTCTTGAGGAGCCTCCACATTCCTCAATGTCTAAGCCCAGGTCATTCACTCTCTACTCTCTTTTATATATATATATATATATTAACGGTTTATGCAAATACAATTCATTTGTAATTTTATATTTAAATTTTTGAATAGTTTGATGAAGGAGCAAAATCGTTTAACAATTTTCGATAATTTGATGAATGAAAAAATATATTTAGCAATTATTGAAAATGTAAAACAAGTATAACGTAATGGGTAAAAATTATTTGGTCATATCTTAGGTGATAGAACCTGAACCTAAGAATCTTGTGGGTAAATCACGTGTCTTGTGGGTAAATCACGTGCTTTAAAAATGCAAATAATGAACACCCAACAGTAGAATATGAGTATCACCCACACAAGTCACAGTACAAAAATCGTTATTTTTAATGAGAGAGAGACAGAGAGAGTATATAAAAAGGTTATAGGTTAAAAATCACATAACGTATCTGATATCAATATATTATTCAAATATATAATCAGATATATAACCATATATATCAATCTATCTATATGAGTTGATATGATAGATATAGATATCAAGAGTGGGTTATCCAAATAGGTTTTGAATTCAAATTCAAAACTTACATGGATAATGTTCAAAAGGGTCATGGGTCATACCACATGGGCGCCCAATTTCTAACATCTCCTACTCACACATGAGTTGGCATGACACAGCCACATCTCTATTTCAATCTCCCTAAAAAAAAAGGAACAATTTCATGCTAGCCAGTGCACCGTGTGACCACTGAGAAACACCTGCATGTGGGAGCTCTATACTAGAAACTCAAAAATGAGCTAACATAGAGACATCAACCCAAAAATAAAAATAATGTCTCATATACCCCAAATCGATCTAATTACGCTAATCCAAAAGACATCTCTAATCCCTCAAAAGAGCATGTTTGACCTTCTCAATTCTTACAATATATTCACACTCAATCCGCCTCTCATACAGAGTGGTGTGAGTTGTCGGCAGTGAATATACAATAGTGGTGTAATACTAGATGATCTTCCCTTTGCCCTTATGCCATTTAGTTTAGGATTGACCGTTTTCCCAGTGATGTCCCTTAAATCCAAATCATACATGATCGCAGGCAACATACCAAAGTAGCAGAACATCAATCCCTTACCTTATAACATAGTCAAAGGTCACAAAATGGTACATAAATGAAAGTCATATCAATAATGACACGTAAGACTCACACGGTGAGGAAACAGGGATCCATTCTCTTACCTCATTACTCGGTCGCTAAGCATATATAGTATGAATACATGCTACGATGGAATAACTCTTCCAAAAGAGTGATGTCGTACTCGATATACCGTATAGATCTTAGTCTAGTCGCTTTCTAGCGCCTAACTCCAATTCTCTATTTGCTCACCTTCCAAGCGCCAAATGAGATCTCGCATCTGGCTAATCATAACAGGCACAACATGGAAAATGGGTACTAACATCCATGTTTGGTCCTTGTCATGACCTCATCTTGGTTGTAACCAAGGCGACATACAAAATGGATAATTTAAGCCTCTCTTGGCTCCAAATAAAAATAAACCACTAATCACATCCTTGCTCGCTCTCAAGCGCCAAGGGCGTTGCTCGTGTGAGTGGGCCAATTTTGCCTGTTGACATCATCATATGCTAATCATTATGACACAAACCATAATAGTGTCAACATTCCATCATCTCACAACAAATAAGTGATTGGTTTAAAAAAAAAACACGACCACAGCTTGCGCAATTCTAGATTCCAAACATAAGCCTTATCAACACCTCTTGCGATAAGAGTATACAACGGAATCCACCATGTGCGCCTCACATGAAGTGATTCAAGATCACTACCTCTTGTGCAATAACCTCTCTAAAAATATTTTGGTGACCAATCTGTGTTCATTCAAGATGCGCCCAACTAGCGCATTGAATCTTACAATGAGCAAATTAATATACTACTAGTAAAGCATTATATCCACAATCTAATGAGCAAGGTCAATGTCTAAACAACTTAGTTGACCATTTACCAAAGATAACACTTATCATGCCGAATACGCCCACAGAGCGTACTTTAGGCTCCCACAACAAAAAAAAAGATCAAGGAATATAGGTCATCTATTTCTCCCAAAGACAATCCGAGGATTCACTCAATAGTTAAGGGTCTGACTTTTACCGATAGGTAAGTCAATGGGTTTGCAATTTTGCATCTAGAATCATTCTAGGATATTCCTTATGTAAGTCATCAAAGACAAACCGGGAATTCTCCCAAAATAATCCCTAAGGATCGTACATCCGAGCATATAAATTATATCACCCATGTCCATCATATCTAAAACAGAGGACTGCTCACCCTAGGTGGCGACATCTTATAAATTCCTGGCTCATAATGACTAAGTAAGGAAAAACTTCTTTTGGACCATTGATCATGCCTCAGTGGTCTTCATCAATCATCGTTAGCCTATCATGGCTCGACAAAATTTAAAAATCACTATTTGGATAACTGTTTTAGGTTGTAAAAGATTTATTGGAACTAGCAATTTTTTTGCGCTCCCAGCTTTTCACCATAAAAGCAGAAGGTAAATCTCTACGGATCTACTTATCCAATTCTCCAACGAGAAGTTGGGTCACAACGTCCACAAATCAATATTCTGAACTTATGTCAATCATAGCCTAAGTTGAAATAACCTCACTCCCCAGGAGAAAGTCTTCTCTTGGTCTACACCTTCCTCAATGGTGAGACTTTTTGGTATCTAGCGAGCCTTATGCCTTAACAATGACTATCCAAATTATGCATAACTTTAGAACATTTTTGTGTCATAATGGAAAGTCAACCAAATTATAGAAATGTTTAATCCTCAAAGACTTTGCCCTAAGCTGCACAACATTGATCCACTTTCTAAAAACAGGGGACTA